TGAGGAATATACCATCATTCCCATAGTTTAGGGGTTTCGGTTTGGGTCCGATACCCGCGGCTGTTGAGCAAAAGCATCTGCAGAAAAGGGTTTTGCCTTTTGCAGCCGGAGCTTCGTCGTGAGGAGTTGGTTAGAAAGCACCCTAAAACCCTAAACCCCTAAAGCCCTAAACCCTAAACCCCTAAACCCTAAACCACGCTTCTGCAGCGCATGTCCTTATGGTATGGAGGCAGCCAAGCTTCTCGGGACCAATATCCGAACCCTAAAGCCGAAACGCCTAACCCTGAATCCCCGGTCGCTTAATAAAGCCCTGATGTAGGAGCCTAAAAAAGTACCAGTACTATTTTTGGGGGTTCCTTGTTATAACTATAGTATAATCTGCCCCAAAACCCCACTTTAAGGCCCCTGTATTAAGCACATCTCCAGATTTCATTCCGGCCTGGAGCCACTTGCGTCTCTGCATGGTAAGACAGCAGGCGCACGCTTTGAGTCGGGACCCTTTTGTCGGATGTCTGCTTCAAGGTGGCTACGGTCTCAGCCCCGTCGGCTCAAAGTTTGACTTACCTTTTCTCTCCTCTTACCGCCGGATGGCTCCTCCACTGCGATGGAGCCCCCTCCTCCTTTTCCTCTGCCTGGTTGGCTCTGGGGCCCGGGAGCGTCCCACCGAAGGCTGCGAGGCTTCCAAGGGCGGGAGCCTCTTGCAAGCGACCGCTGCGCAGAGCCGCCTCCTCCTGAACCATTCCCAGGCGGAGCAGAAAGCTTGGAGAGCTCTGTGGAGGGAGCCCGCAGGGGTGGACTTTCAATTCCGCGAGGGCTCTGTTTTTGTGGGCGATGTCGGGTCTATTCCGTAATTCAGAGCTCTGTTGCTTTCGGCTTGCGGAGTGGCTTTCACCCCATGAAGGACTTCGTTGAAGCTTAGCCCAAACCCAAAACCCAAGACCCCCCCAGGCAGATGGCAGAAGCCTCGCCCTTCACCGCCGGGCCTCGCGGGCTCGAGGAGGGGCGAAAGGCTCACCGGATAGCAACCCCTTACGGCTATACTGCACGGGGGTTGATTGTTTCGGGTTTAGCTTAGGGTTCAACTCATAGGTTGTTGAGGGCTTGACTTCGGGTTTAGGGGCAACAAGGAAGCCGTTATTGAATGCCGGCCGTAGGCAGCCGATATAGTATCACAGACTATGATTTAGTATAATATACTATAATATAACATGCTATAATATACCATGATGTGCCCTAATGATGAATTAGAGGCAGCCAGGCAACCGTTATAGTTATAGTATGTAACCCTTCATGTTCTCAGTGCTTGTCGGCCGTACACAGCCGAGAATTCAAAGCCTGTTAGACCTAAAGCCTAAACCCTCGACTAGACTATAGAGCATACTACAACATACTATAACTTTCTATAACATACTAATGCTATAACATACCATCATATACTTTACTGCGCCATCATGATGAATCAGACCCTCCAGCTCCAAAGTCCGAGCAGGCAAAGAGCGGCGCCGAGAGGGGAATCTGGATGCCGCCGTGGCCTCCAAGGCCTTTGACTGGGTGGACGACGTCGTGGACGCCGGGGGACTTGGACTTCTCGGGCTTTGGGTTTAGGGGTTAGATACGTGAACGCGCCGGGGACTTGGAGTTGTCTACATTCCTCACATACCTGCACCCCCACGCATACCTGCGTGGATACATGGACGTGGGGTTACCGGAGATCTCGACCCAAGAGTCGATAAACCCCAAAGGCCCAAAGGCCGAACCGAGGCCCCCAAGATCCAGCCTCAAACATCAGGAGCAATCTGACAAAGTCTATGCATGTTTATGCAGGGTCTGTTTTTTTATGAGCCCACGTAGGTCAACGTATAATATATATATATATATATATGTGTGTGTATGTATGTATACGCACGAAAGCGTACTTGTATGCATGCATACATACATGTGTACATGCATGTGTACATGCGCTCTGTATACGTCCGTCAGTCTGCAAGCAACCAACAGCAACAAGCAAACAACTGGACAATTGGATGGGTATCCAAACAACTGCATCATTGAATCGGTAGAAACACAGATGTTAAATAGGCTAATCATGGGCAAGTTCGAGGCGTTGAATAAGTAGGTAGAGAGATAGATAGGCAGATAGCCAGGTGTACCAGTGATAAGGGATAGACAGATAGATGGACCGATAGATAGACAGGTAGATAGACAGACAGATAGGCAGACAGATAGCCAGAAACATAGGCAGATAGAGAGTTGTATGCAAACAGCAAATGCACGCACGTGTAGGTAAGTAAATATATGTGTATATATACATACACATATACACACACACACGTATATATATATATATGTATGTGTATATATATATATATATGTATATATGTATGCATATAAATGTAAATACAGACGAATACGCGCACATGCCCGCACACATGCATGCATGCATGCATGCATACATTCATGCGCATATCCATCCATCCATCCATCCATACATACGAGCGGGAAGCTCAGGCCATGGTGGATGTCGCGAACACCGTGGCTGACTATGGCAGCCAGATCGGCACTGAGCTCGCCGACGTTGGGCTCCAGGTGGGCGACTTCAGTTTCTTTTTCCATAAACTCAACTTCCAGGGCACTTATGTTGAGGATCTGACTATAGAACCCAAAGCTTAGACTCGACCCGCCACTCAGAGGAAGTTATTGCTTTTTGCTCAAGCAGTTCTTTGTTCAGGGTTGCGAGTTTTCTTAATATGGTGATGTAGTGTCCCTACTCTGTTCTAAGGTCCCCGACACCTCCCCTCTTAGAGTCCTTAATAAGTAGTATAGGGTTTTGGGGATATGTTCTTCTAGTCATGTGAGGGCCAGAAGGGTAGACTATTGCTATTCAGCCAGATATCGATATAATATAAATAAGTAAATAAGTAAATAAATAGATAAATAAATAAATAAACAAAATAGATAAATAAATAAATAAAAATATATATATATATATATATATATTTCACCTTGCAGCCCTTCGCGCCCCCCCCCCGCCCCCAGAGCCTGCACAGAGGCCGGCAGCTTTGCCGGAAATTCAGCGCTCGTCATCGGAAAGTCGGTGCCTTGCCGGGTTTAGGATGGAGGGGTGGGGTTTAGGGTTTAGGGTTTAGGGTTTAGGGTTTAGATTGAGGGGGTGGGGTTGAAGCTTTAGTCTGTGTCGCTGTGCGGTGGGTGGATGGGTATGTGGGTGCATTCATGATCGCACAACATCTCGCATCGGGTAGCAATTGCCACAACCATTTGCGGTTTCGTTGCGTCTTCTGCTTGACGTGTTCTAATCGCTATATAGTTATCCTAAACCCCTCACCCTACACAACCTACACTAAAACCCATACACTATACAGTACACCATGTTTTTTCTACAGTCGAAGACCAGAAACCCGTCAAAGGGGTCGCCCGCTTCAGGCGTCAAAGCTCGGAGAGACTTTGGGGGCTTTGGGGAAGTGAACTTGAAGGGATGAGGCTTCAAGAGCTGAGGGTTAAGGGCCTCAGGGTCTGCAGGGTTTAGGGCCTTGAGACCCTAAACCCTAAACCCCTAAAGCCCTAAACCCCTAAAGCCCTAAACCCCGAAAGCCCTAAAGCCCTAAACCCTAAACCCCTAACCCCTCAAGCGTAAACCCGAGTTTAGGCCCTAAGCCATGGCCCCTTAACTTGATTTTCGGATCCAAGGTGGTGACCGTTGCGGAGCAGACCTATAAAGCCGTGCCCAGCGAGATCAAAGCAGCGGCGAGCACGTTGGGAAGCGAGGTGCAGATCCGCAGATCCTCCTTTGGGGGAAACCCGATACCTTAAACCCTATAAACCCTAAACTAAGCCCCAAACCTCTGAACCCTGAAATCCTTAAGCCTAAACCCAAACCCGAGAACCTGGACCGTAAAACCCTAGCCGTGGGGTTCTCTTATCTTGGCTCGCGTGTGGGTCTCACTGTCAAGATTTCAAAGACAAGCCCGAGACCGCAAGAGCCCTACCTGGATTGTATTGAAATGCGAGAGCCGAAATCCAAGACATCAGCAAAAACGTAACCATATTTCCGTACAGTCTTGTGTAAATTCAGAACCCTAAACCCTAAACCCGAAACCCTAAACCCTAAACCCTTAAACCCTAAACCCTTAAACCCGAAACCAGAAACCCTAAACCCTTAAACCCTAAACCCTAAACCCTAAACCCAGGCCCCCCAAAAATCAAAAAGGACCCTGAACCTGCAGGTGCTGAGTGCGGGAGCTCTTGTGGTCAGCATGCCGGACCGCGCTTCGAGTGTGAGTGTTGAGGAGTCTTCAGGGCTTTGAGGTTTAGGGTTTAGGGTTTAGGGTTTAGGGTTTAGGGTTTAGGGTTTAGGGTTTAGGGTTTAGGGGAGGTGGATGGTACGGACTAGCTCTTCTGCTTGTTTTGCGGCTACATGCCATTTCATTCTGCGTACTCGATTCTATTCTGCTCTATTCTACTCTAGGAGGCTATCCATAGGCCCCATAGTAGTTCCTTTTTTTGGATTCCCTAATAGAATCCTAAATATAAGCCACAAAAAGGAACTACTATGGGGCCTATGGGTATGCTATATGGTAGTATATATTGTAGGTCGGGCTTGGTGTTTGCAGTGCGGGCTCAAGGACACCGAAACCCTGGACCGAAAACTTGTGACCCTGAGAGGTTCAGGGTCTCAGTGTCTGAGGGTCTCTAGGGTTTAGGGGTT